CCCCTGCCAGTGTGCCCCCGGTGCTGGGGGGGCCGGGCCGTACCCCAGTGCCGGCTGAGGGGGTGCTCCAGGATGACGTGCTCCACCTGGCAGCTGTAGGTGACCCCGCGCCGGGGGGGGATTTCCAGCAGCACCAGCACCTGGTAGGTCCAGTCCCCGTTGGGGACCACATCAGTGGCCACCACGTGCTCCGGCAGCTCCTGCTCATCCTGGAACCACCTCACCTGCACCGGCGCAGGGTAGAAATCCATCACAGAGCAGAGCAGGCGGCCGGGGCCGGGCTGGGAGCTCGACGGCACCAGCGAGATGGACACGCTGGGGGGCACTGGGAGGGACAGGGGAGACACTGGGTTGAGCTGGGGGACACTGGGAGGGAGGGCAGAGGGCTTGGAGGACATTGGGAGGGATTGGGATGGCAGTGGGAAGGACTGGGATGGCAGTGGGAGGGACTGGGAATAGAGCTGGGGTAGAAGGGCATGGGCTGGGGGGGCACTGGGGAGAGAGTTGGGAGATGTGGGAGTGAAGTGAGAACGACTGGGAATGGAGTGAGAGGGTCTGGGAGTGGAGTGAGAGGGTCTGGGAAGGACTGGGAAGGACTGGGAAGGACTGGGAATGACTGGTGTGGTCTGGGAAGGAAGCGATCGGGACTGGGAGGCTGAGTGGTGGTGAGGGAACTCTTTGGTTTGGGTCTGCCTGGCAACTGGAGCGTCATCAGAGAGACGCGCTGGGATTGGCTGAGGGGCGTGAGCTCGGTGACCCCAGCGGGGTGGAGACGGCGGAGGCACTGGGAGAGACTGGGATGGACTGGGATGGAGTGAGAAAAACTGGAATGGACTAGGACAGACTAGGGGGCATTGGATGGGCTTGGAGGGACTGGGAGGGATTGGGATGGACTGGGAGGGGACAAAAGGCCACGGGGACCGACACAGGGAGGGCTGAGGGGTCTGGGGTGATTCGCAGGGAGGGTTTGAGGGGTTCCAGGGTCATTCCCGAGGGGACCCGCTCTGCCCCACGCTCACCTCTCCTCTCCACGGTGAACGGGGTGACGACCCTGTAGTTGTGGAGGCAGTACCAGTCCACAGCTGACCGTGTGTACTCCATATATTCCTTTTGGCTGTTCAAGCTCCTGGCAAACTTCTCCCCATGCGGGGTGTCCTCCACATGGACCCCCACATCGCTGTCAAAGTGCAGGAGCTGCTCCCGGTTGTAGATGTACCTCTCCAGGAGCCTCACCCGCTCGGTGCCGTTGATAAAGTGACACTCGCGTTTTGTGATCCTCTGGAACACCCCTGTGTGTGCAGGACACGGGTCAGGGGGTGCCCCGTCCCCCCCCCATCATCCCCCAGCCCTCCACACCAGGCTGGCAGCTCAGGGGGCCACCCAGGACCTCCCTTTCCCACTCCCCTCTGCCCCATGGACGCCCCAGCACCGGCTCTTGGCTGGGGGGGAACCCCCCCATCAGCCCCCCGGGGATGGACAGGGGGGTTGGGGACCCCTCCAATGCCGATCCCACCCCCCCAGAGCCCCA